ATGGACACTGTCAACTGCATTACTCAGGCAGGCTGTGGTGTTCAACTGATCTTCTACCGATGTGGAACTACACTCAAAAGCATCTGGCCCTAACGCTTAACACATTCAATGCCACTTAAATCACCTGTCGTCCCCATTCTGATGCTCAGTTTGAACTTAATGAGGTTGTCTTAGCCATATCTACCCTACTAAATGCATTGAATTGCTGCCACGTGATTGGTTGATTAGATATTTGAGTGAATGAACAATTGAACAGGTGTACTTTATGAAGTGGCTGGTAGGTATGTTTCACTTGCGTGTTAAAGAGTCTTATTACTTTGGAGGCCAGAGGGTCTGAACATTATGAAAACACTTCCTGGTCCGTTGTATTAAATATTGCCTTTTTTCTAACATTAGTGAATATCAGTAACAGAACTAGAAAAGAGAATTAGAGAATACTTATGTTTGTAATGGACAACAAGTTAAGCACATATTGACATCTGGGTAAATCATTGCAGGATTTGAAATTCTCTGATGGGAAATTAGATCACATCTTTATTTGAACAAGAAGGCAACACGCGTGACCTGATAAACAGGGTGATTATGTCACAAGCAGGATAATAGTCTAACAAGTAGATAGGCATAGAAATAGTGTCATTGCATTGCTAGGAACACAGTTATCAGTTAATGCGCAGCTGTTGTGACCTTATGTTCTTGCTTTAAAGCAGTACATATCTAAACTTAGTGGCATTATTAAAAGCGTTTACTTTAATGCATCACTTCTCATGAATGACTAAATTATTTTGACCAACCTTTATTTAAATATTGCATTAATATAATTAAAATTGTGTCTAAGCACTTAAATGTGAGTCTGTCCTTAAGATGTACTTGTTTAAGTTACTGTGTTCGTCTCTGCAAGATATAGTGTGAGGGTAAACTATGATGTTATTTTTGTCATGTTTCGGCTGTGTGCAGGCAGGAGAGGACCCAAACTCACGGGGAATAAACTCAAAAGCACTGCTTTATTGCAGACTCGAGGAAAAGATACAGAATTAAACTATACTGGGAAAATACAAACTAAACTTCACAGTGAGGCACACAAGGGAACGCACAGCATGAGGGACAACGTAACATGGAACAAAGCGAGACTCTGACATAAATACACAGAAGGTAATGAGGGAAGTGGAAGCACACGGGGAACACAGCTGTGTCATGATCCTGGGCCATGTTGGCCCAGTATTCTTAGTTTCATGTATTTTGTTCCTTATTTAGGCCATGTTTCCTGGGTTGCTCTGTTACGTTGTTCCCTAAGTGTTTTCCCCTTGTGAATCTTACCCCCTGTGTGCCCCTCTGAGTATTTGTGAGCCCTAGTCTCTCCTTGTGTTTATTCCATGTTTTCCCCAGCCTGTTATGTCTGTTCTCCCTGTGCTCTCTCTCCTCCTGTCTGAACCTCCGTGTACTTCCTGTTTTACTTTGATAATCTCTCGTCTGTATGCGTCATGTTATGTTCACTCCTGCCCTGTCTCGTTATGGTTATCTGTGTCAGCTGTGTTCCCCGTGTGTTAACCCTCTGTGTATTTATGTCTGCGTCTCCCTCGGTTCGGTGTGGCGTTCTCCCTCATGACTGTGTGCCCCTCCGTGTGTTTCCTTGTAAGTCCGTTCCTTAGTTCTTCCCAGTTTAGTTTCATGTCATTTTGTATCGTTGTCATCTTTATCAGCAATAAAGTTGTATTTTGAGTTCAGTCCTGTTTTCCGTGAGTTTGCGTTTGGGTCCTATTTCCTGCCTGCCACACAGCCAAATCATGACAAGCTGAGGACAATTACACATGACAGCGCATGGAGGACATGAAACTGAAAATGCTGACACCAAGACACGGACCTTAAACATAACACAGAGAGTACACAGAGAGAACATGACGGAAAGAGGAAAACACAGAACATGAGGAGTATGAACAAAGCAAAATAACTCACACCACTATATACACGGTCACACAGAGGGAGACAAAGGGGGATAAAGACATGAGGGGAAATCTAGTAAATTAACCTGAACAACTTAGGACCCATAGAATAACAAATTAACTTAAAATGACACAGGAACACAGGAAAACTAAGAACGCTAGGTAAAATGACCCAGGATCCTGGCAATTTTGCTATCTTGTTTACTTTTTCCCCCTGTCTGAATCCACAATGACTACATCCCGTACAGAACAGGTGTAAAAAGTATTTTGATTTGTTGTAGTAAAATGAAGAATGGAAACTCACTAACAAATTTCTAAACTAATCATTTATGCGAAATGAAAATTGGTGTGAATTTGAGAGAAAAAGATTCAAAAGACAAATTCAAATTCAAATTTTATTTGTCACGTACACAGTCATACACAGTACGATATGCAGTGAAATGCTTGGACAACTGCTGGTGACCTAAAGAAAACAAAAAAAGGAAAAGGCTATGAATGAGATAGGAAATAAATATGAAAAATTAAAAAGGGTAAATTTTACTAGGAAGGAATAAAATATAAATTAAGGTTAAAAAGGAAATAACTGTACAACACAAATTAGAATGAAGGGTAAATTTAACTGGGAAAGAATAAGATAAAATATATAAATTAAAGTTGAAAACAAAATACACAATATAGAACTATATAAGAATGTATGAAGAAATATAAATAAATATATACACAATAACAGCAGCTGTACAAGTATTAACTGGAAATGAAGAATATAATGTCCAGTGTTGTGCAATCCACATCATGTCTTCTGCAGTGCAAATATGCTTAAATCCAGGTAATTCTTTTTGACTTTAAAGCTGAAATGATAAAATCAGTGTCTAATGTTAAAGCAACAGAGCTCCAATGAAGCTCAAGTACAATAAAATGTGATGCAGTCTTAAATCATGCATTATAAAGTTCTCTGCAGAGCAATTTATTGCTGTAAGTAGACTTTAGAGATGCATAGGGCCCCCGCAGCCACTAGGGGGCAATTTTTTCCACTTCACTAAAAAGCCAGGAAGTAGCATGGTCACGGTTTAATGTGGCTCCTTTAAAAATACAGCATCACTCTTCCTATGAATTTGCTCTGATTATCTACACATCAAAGAAGATGCATATTTATTGTATTGTATGCTGTTTTGTTTTCTACTCATCTCATGTTGTTGTTTCCATATTCATGTGAGAGCTGGTTAAATGTATTTATTTATTTATTAGTTGGTAGGGGAGATCATATTTTATGTTATTATGTTTTCTATTGAAAAAATCTATTTCCTAAAATTAAAAAAAAAAACATTTCTGAGGAAAATTATGCATCTTTTGCATTTATGGATTATTATTTACGTTTTATCTTTTTTTTTTTAACGTTTTCTTAAAGTTTAAACTTCTTTGGTTTGCTTGTTTTCCTCTAAACATGTAAAGGAAGAAAATTCCAGTAAGATCAAAATCCACTGTTTCTGAGGAGGATCAGTGTTTACACTGTGAAAATGTCCAATGGGAAATGTTGAATGACATTAAGAAGTACCCCATATGACGAGTTTATCTAACGACATGAATAAATGTGCATCTGTCCTTGAGATGTATTTGTCTGAATTGTGTCTGTGGGTCATAAAACGTGTTTTTCGCCGGTATTGGCAGGCCTGAATAATATCTAGGAGGCAACTTGTAGTTTCAGCTGTTAACTAAAGGTACAACAGGCAACTTAGCTGGCGCCACAGTGAGGCGCAGATGGGGCCTGCTGGTGTTAAATTCGCGTCGCGGGCTTATGACGTCCTCTTTACTCGCTGCTTATCTGCAGGAAAGGTGCGTTCCCTCAACTCCTGACACAATCGTCTGGATTAATCAAACATCCTAAGTTGTGCATTCATAAGAGTTGGCGCTTTACAATGGATAATAACTTTTATATCACATTTCTTCTTCATTGCAGAACTTTTAGTTCACCATCCATCGCAAATCTACAATGGCCGAGGAAGGGTGAGCAAGACATTTGTGTCTATGATGACTTGATAATAAAAGTTACTTAAACGAGCCGTAGTTAAACTACAGCTGAAATTTGTTTAGGAGAGGATAGTGACCTTGTAAACATAAGCTTTTTGGTAACAGTGTGCTTTATAGCATAAAAGAGAATATTTCACATGAGACAAGTTGCTAGCTTAGCAGGGATAGAGGTTCAGTTATACTACCCCCACGCATGTAGCAATTTACTATAAAATTGAATTGAATAGCCCTTTATTGTCATTGTACATGTACAACGCAATTGTACAACACCAACTGTGTAGGAATAAAATGTAACAGGTCACCAGCCAGATAAATTGCAAACAGGAGAAATGTATACAGTCACAAGAAATGTGTGCAAAAATGAGAGAAAGGCACATAATAGAAAGCTCATAAATAAGGCATGTCCATAGTCCAGTCCAGGGGGCTAATGTTTAACAGGTTTATACAATCACACAATAGTAAATCTAGTTTAAAATTAACCTGAGATACTGATATGCGGCAGCTTCACTGACGTTTACAATTCCTCTTCCCTTTAATGATCACTAGTGTAATCACCTTGATCTTTGTTATATTGCTCTTCATATGTGAATACAGTCAAAGGGTTTAGAAGTAGTGGTCCTGCCTTTAGTGCAGCTATGTATGAAAAATATATGTGGAGTCTTAAACAGGCATGTTTTTCAGTAACCTGAAGTCTTCTCACTGATCTGAAGTATTTAAGGGCTTTGACATGCTAGCAGTAACTTATTTGAAACCTAGTGACAGTGTTGTGTAGAACACTGACTCAGTTGGCCTTTCTTCAGCTCAGATTTAAATGATTGAGAAGCCAAACATGTACACCTTGATGGACTATATCATGTCGTCAGCAGTCTGGCTGCAGTATTTACAACTAATTGTAACTTGGCAAGAGAGGAGTTCCAAACCGTCGTAGTCCAGTTTAGATGCAGGAAGGCTTGATAAACCTGGTATAGATTTAAGTTTTTAGTCTGGATATTATTCTGAAATTTCATTATTGTGTTTTTCTGCCAGCTGAGCTTTTGTGCATGACTGATGATCCCATCTTTTGTCGGATACCCCTTCACTCTACAATGAGTGAGACGCTCGCCGCTCTGACATGCCAAAAGCTCAGCTGAAGAGGCCCCAATTTCTTGTGCTCATCTTCCTCAAAATTTTATGATTTTTTTTTTTTTATCTTACTTCATACAGCAGTCCTGCTGGAGGTGTGATGGATGTCAACACCGCTCTCCCTGAAGTGCTCAAGACCGCACTCATCCACGATGGCCTAGCCCGCGGTATCCGTGAGGCTGCCAAGGCTCTGGACAAGTAAGTCTTAAACCTTTTAGAGAGCTTTAACTTAAAACGTCTGAGCCATCCTATCAGTTTAAAGTGTGAATGGTATAATGTAGTAGCCTTTTAATGTGAGTTCTTTTTCTTTTCTTTTTTCCCCCTGTTCTTTCATAGACGTCAGGCCCATCTCTGCGTCCTTGCTGCCAACTGCGATGAGCCCATGTACGTCAAGCTGGTGGAGGCCCTCTGCGCCGAGCATCAGATCAATCTCATCAAGGTACTGAATTTGCTTGGGTTTGGTTTGATGTTCATGGACAGTTGGACTGCGTTCTTCTATTTATTTTTTTTAAACCAGTTGCATAAAGTGAATGTAGCACTGCTGTATCGCTGATGACAATTTGGCTCCCTCTACTGAACACTGTGAGGAGATTGCCAATTGTTACCCAATTTCTGTCTGAGATACAGTTGAGCTTGGACTATAATGCACTATTCTACCCGTGCTTATTATTATTTTTACTGTGTTGACTTAAATTCATTCATGAAGTTGAAGTGACCTTTTAAACTCTGGCAGGTTGATGACAACAAGAAGCTTGGTGAGTGGGTTGGTCTGTGCAAGATCGACCGCGAGGGTAAACCACGCAAGGTGGTTGGCTGCAGCTGCGTCGTTGTTAAGGTAATTATGTTGCTTTCTTTCTTTGGCTAGTCTTAATTCACTTGATTAGCCTTTTGATCTATATAGGAAACCTTAAATGGGAATTCAATGAGATCCCTCTAACATAACAGCGAAAGAAACAGAGTTATGAGTTAGGACTATATTTGCCAGTCAAGTGCAGTTGCTGTGCCTCATGCCATGCAGCTGTTTAACTCCTGGCTAGAGAGGAGCCAGCGTACAAGCCCCGTCATCTGCCTGTGGTGTCCGGGGTCCCTAAGGATGGCTACATAGTGTTTAAACAAGTAGTGTTTAAATATAGCTGGAGACATGTTAATTGTAGCTCGTTATGTTTCCCTTGCGTAATAAACTTACATTTATTTCCAAATGGCTGTTTAATGTTTGCAGGTATACATGTCTGTGATGTTGGGCTCAGTTGACCTTAATTTTATTTATTTATCCCCCCTACAGGATTATGGCAAGGAGTCCCAGGCCAAGGATGTGATTGAGGAATACTTCAAGTCCAAGAAATGAAGTGTCAATAAAACAATGAAATGAAGCTCTGGAGTGTGTTATTGATTTGAGTTGCTTGGTTGGATATTGAGCATTATTTTACTGTGTACCAATCTTGTTGCTTGGTTAGTGCATCATTTCATGAGCTCTTTCTCCAAATTGAGAATTTCAGATTTATTTATTTATTTATTTTTAATTTTGAAAAAGCTCTTTGCCCTCTGGATAACATTGTTACTGCTTAGCCAGAAAACGTTGATGGTCAAGCAGCATGGATCCCAAATTTGTGAGTATGAATGAGTGAAACTTGAACCGTGCAATGCGCAGTTTTGAAATTCACACCATTGGAGCATCTAGTAAAAGTTCAAATCCTGGTGACCTTAACTTGACCTCAAATTGAGTCCACTTACTGTGATTTAGGCTCCATGGAGTGTTGCTGTCTCTTAGCTGGTTTGACTGAAAACTAAAAAGCCAGTCAGATAATGAACATTGAAGCTTTCAAAACATCTTTAAAAACTTATATAAATTGTTTTTCGTGTAATACTGAATGCCTCCCAATGTATTACATTGAACAGAGCTTTGAAATGTTAAAACGCAAACATCAAATGAACACTTAAATGGAACATTATCCAAGAAAGAATATAAAGGAATAACAGTTACGTAATTGGAGAGAAATGAAATAGTTGAGATGAATACCATCGAAGTAATTGGTTTTCTAGATTGTTCTATTTGCTATAGTACTAGTGTCAAAAAATTACATGAAAACCAGTTCTAATAAACAGCGCTTATGTATTATTTATTTATTTTTTTTACATAAAATGATGCATGTGAAATCCTTTTGCCCGAGAAGCTTACCATTTACCTTGTGCAGCTTGGCAGGTTTGCATAAGTTTCCTCAGGTTACAATCGAGTACACCAAAAAGCCAGACTATCACGAGTTTGTTGCATAATTCTTTTATCAAGTATGACTTGAAATATTTCAATCCTTTGATTTTGGAATTAATTATAATGGGTTATAACTCAAGGAAATCATACATCAAGCCTGATAATTAGAATATTTCCTAAGATCATTAATTTATAATACAGAAATGCCCAGCTTCATTTAAATGGAACTCAATGGAGTCTCCTTTGCCTCAAATTACTGCATCAGTTTGTGGCCTTGCTGAGTTGATAATCAAAGTCCAGTTTGCTTTGACAGCAGCCTTCAGATTGTCTGTATTTTGGAGTCAGATTATTTTTCCATCTCTACAGAGAACACGTGTTCATGTTAGATTCAGTTGGGAAGCCATTAGGTTTGGTACTGCAAGCAGGAGCCAGGTTTTGCTGGAAAAAGGAACTTGGCATCTCTATAAAGATTGTAAGCAAATGGATGCATGAAGTGCTTTAAAATCTCCTGGTAAATGGTTGTATTGACTTTGGACTTGATAAAACATAATGGACCGACTACCATCAACACTAGTATTTGACATGAAAATCCAAATCATCAGACTGAAAAAACTTCACTGGGTGAATCTCCACTCTTCCTCCAGACTCAGGGACCTAAATATTCAAACGAAAATCCCAAATTTACTTTAATCTGAAAAGATGACTTGAGACTACAGAGCAGCAGTCCATTTCTTTTCCTCCTCAGCTCAAGTAAGATGCTCCTCGCATTTCTGGTTCAGCAGTGGTTTGACATGAGGAATGTGACATTTGTAGCCTCTTTCCATCTGGTGTCTCCTGCACTGACACCAGCCTCGGTCCACTCCTTGTGATGCTCACCCAAGTTGTTGACAATGCCCTCAAGGCAGCGGGCATCCCCATTGCTTGTGCACCTTTTCCTACGACAACTTTCCTTTCCAGTCAGTTTTCCATGAATATCTGTTGATACAGCACTGTGAACCAGCCTTTCAACAGTGACTTTCTGTGGCTTACCCTTCTTATGGAAGGTGTTAATGATCATGACCCGGAGAACTGTCAAGTCAGCAGTCTTCCTTAAGGTTGTGGGTACTTGAGCAGACCAAAAGAGTGTTTATACTGCTTGAAATCAAGTATTCTGATGGTTTTTATGAGCTATAAATAAACCGTAATCAAATTAAAACAAAGGCCTAGAATTCTCCAATGTACATAAAATGGATATTGAATATGGGACAGTTATTATTCTGAATTTAGAAAAAAAAAAAATCAAAATATTCTATTGTTTGTCATCTCTCTCAGTACATCAGCAGAATAGGAAATCGTACCTGTGTGGTGTGTGTGTTTGTTTTTTGGGTTTTCATGTTTTTTTTAAGCAAAAACCATGAAAATAACCTTAAGAGGAGTCAGGTATGCAGTATAAGGTTCAAAGGCAAGCTGTTCAGGTAGAGCACAATAGGGATGTTAAACTCTAGCTTTAGGCTCAGTGTGCTCACTAACAGATTGCTCTCCCTTCTTATTATAGCCCTGTCATTTTGTGACTTTAGTTTCAGAGTATCACAGGTTGTGCTAAGGATCTTGTTTCTTTTATGAAAGAAGATGCATAGGTCATGTGGATAAGTTTTCTCCTTTATATCTACATACATAGACATTTCTGAATAAAGAAAAGACATTCAAACACATTAAGGCACAACACATCATGACGCACATCTTCAAGCCCCACCCACCAGAAAGAAAACAAAATACAAAAACCAGAAGGAAAAAACAAAAGAGCCTCAAAATTTCCAATTATTTGACCAAAAAGAAAAAGAAAAACAACCCCAAAACCCTACCACTGTCATGTAAGTTTATTGTAAATAATTTACACAAATTTCTACCACAGACTGCATTCTTTTGTCGTGATTATTATACCACTGGGAACAAAACCCTTACAAAAAAAGCTGTTATCCCAGTATACATGATATGGTCTGTACAGAGAAGCCTTCAAATTAATGCATAGCCAATGATCTTCCCCCCCCCAAGTGATGCCACAAGTCCTCATTTCCACCTGGGTGCTCTGACCACAAACTAGATCTCAAGGGGAAAAAAATATCCTCCCAGTCCAAGGAAGGTCTTAAGCCTTGACAGTTTTAGCCTGCTACAGCTGCAAGAACAGCAGACTGGATTTTCAGAGGTCTGTCCCCAGCATCAGGACCAGGGGGGCTGAGCAAGGATGTGTCGGATAGCCTTTTCCTAATCCCACTTTCCTCTTCTTTACCTCCTTTAACCTCTTAAGACCGTTACGAGTTTGTAAATCCAGACATTCAAAAACAAGACAGGAAACGAAAGTAATCACAGAAACACTTGCAGTGTCGTGTGTTCTTAAATAGTTATACAAAAGAAAGGGGCTGCCTGGCTGACCGTGTCCATGTGACAATGCAATGAGTCCATATTGCTATAATAGTTACAGGTACTCAAACTCCAGTGCTTGGTGTAATGCCAGCAGGTCAGAGTGACTTGATATCCTCCAGAAAGGCATGTTGTGCTGCGGAGTGGACACACATCATTAAAATCAGACATACAATTATCACTGTTGCACACCACCACCGCCTAACCACATGCAAGCTACACTACTGTAGCTTGTAGCTGCACTGCAAACAAAAATCCATGCATTTCTAAGGCTTTAAGACAAAGGGTGGCATTTTGGGAATTATGCTTATCCTTCTGTTCAGAAGGTTACATCAGATGACATAATTTATATCACTCATCTCTCCCCTCTTGGTGAAGCTACAGCCAGCGGTTCGTCAGTTTAGCTTAGCATAAAAATTTTAAAAATAGGTACCTTAGCCTTAAAAAAAGCACAAAAATCTACAAAGGGCAATTCTCAATATCACCAACTTAATTGTAACATATGTATCAGCAATAATATGTACAAAGAACTTTAAAAAATGTATGAAGGATAACAAGATTTGTGCTGATGATGCTAGCCTCTACTTTGACTGATGCTAGCCTCTACTTTGAAACACTCATATAACCCATAGAAAATCCCTGCAGCTGTTGTTTTTGACTTTTGTTTTCATTATAATTAAATCAACAAGATATAACTAAATTGGTGAGCTGTAAAGACTAAGAAATGTTTACTTTTTAAAACACCAGTTTCCCCAATGTTTCCGGCCTTTATGCTAAGGTAATTTAACTTTTTGCTGACTGTAGCTTGAAGTCAATAGTTTCCTAAAAAGCTTTAACAGTAGTGCCAAAATTGTATGTGGGAAGTTTTTACATCCTGTTCTACATTTTATTATGTTTTAGACTAATCTTGAAATGAATTCAGTTTTTTTCTAAACACAGTCTACACATAATACTCCACAATAACAAAACAGAGTTTTCAGAGTCCTGTGATACTGTACTAAAATTAGAGACAGAAATATTGTCTTCATGCGTAACCCCAAAAAACTGTTGGGTCACTCTGTGAAATGTGAATAAAAACAGAATGCAATGATTTGCAAATCTCATAAACCCATATTTTAATAAAGATATTAAACAGAGAATATACCATTTTATGAGAAATGTTGGCTTATTTGAAGTTGACGGCAGCGGAATATCACAAAAAAGTTTGGATGGGGACAAGAAAAGCCTAAAAGTGGTGCTAAAACAAATATCTAGATGAAGAGTTTGCTACTTATCAGGTTAACTTGAGGCAGGCCATTAAGATGATTGGGTATGAAAAGAGCATCAGGTTGAATTCAGTTTTATTTATAAAGCACCAAATCACAGCAACAGTTGCCTCAAGGTGCTTTTTATTGTAAGGTCTTTACCTTACAATATTTAATATGTGCATTGAAGGAGACATCCTGGTCAAAAAAGACTCCAAGACTCATCCCAGTGTTACTGGAGGCCAAGGTAAAGCCATCCAGAGTAAGCATCTGGTTAGACACTGTATCTTTAAGATTTTTAGTACAATAACCTCAGTTTTGGAAGTGGAAAACTGTTCTGCAGTCAGATGAATCAAAATTTTGGTAAAATGGATTCAAGAGTGTTCAGTTCGAAAGCCTGCATTTCTGATGCTATGACACTGGACTTTGTGAATGGAACAACATTCCTTTCCCAAAGGTCCAGGAGCTGGTTTCCTCAGTTCCCAGACATTTACAGACTGTCGTTAAAAGAAAAGGGGATGCTACAGAGGTAAACATGACCCCTGTGTTGTGAATAGACTGATGACCCAGTGTCAGATAAGTGGCAGAAGATTGATGGATGGATGAATGGATGGATGATAACAAACCTGTTGTTATGACACTCACAGTTGTGGCGCTTCCTACTTTTATTAAATGTTCTCCTTGTTTCAGCCAAACTCCGTAACTGGGACAGAGGCCATGTAACTAAGAACCCAGTAGTCACTATGAATAAACTCCTTTGTAGGGATGGGAGAAACATTCATTAAGACAGTAATCCAATCTGATCTAAAATGAAGACAGACGCATGGAGGAAACTAGGCACTGGGCATCACCTCATTAATTCCAATCCTACAGTCAAAGACAGAGGTGGCAGCATTATGCTCCATCAGTAATTTTCTGTCAAGTACTGAGAAACCAGTAAGGATAGAGGGAATGATGAAGGCAGAAAATATAGAGAAATCCTGAGTGAAAACCTTTGTCAGAGTGCTCAGGATTATATTTCAGCAGGAAAAAAAGGCCCTAGTGCAATGCCAAAAAAGCACAGGAGTGGCTCTGGGAAAACTCCTGGACTGACCCAGCCAGAGTTCAGACCTAAACACTTCTGGAGAGTCCTGGAAATGTCTGACTGAGCTGGCTGAGGTTTAACAATTTTGCTAAGGAGAACTGGAGAAATCTTCAAATGAAAGCTTGAAGGTTCATTTCCGTTCGCTGCTGCCAAAGGAGCTTTAACACAAGTGATGGGTAGTCATGCAAATGGGTTATTCCAGGTTTTTATTCTTAATAACTTGACAAAACACTTCAAAGTCCTATTATACTAGGTTCTTGTGGAGTATTGTGTGTAGACTGATGGGGGCCAGGAGGGGGACTGAACCAATTTTAAGATGATGCTAATGTTGAAAACCATCCAAATCCAATGTATTTAGTGCTCAGTAAGAAAGTAAAAAAAAGAGTATATCCCAAAATGCAAAGCCATCTTTTAACAACCCCAGCACCCAGCACGATGAATGAAACCCAAAGCTGTAGAAGAGAGGATTAAGAAAATATTTTGGTGTAGCAAACTTAAAATAGATCACTACTTATCTCCCTTTTTTTTGTTATACAACTACAACATCAGTTAAAAACACATAACAGGAGACACGTCACAGGATACGGCAGGATCATTGCTCTGAACAAATGAGGCCGTTCACAGCCCAGTCAGCGTGTACATTTACACAGCCATTCATTACACAATTGCAGATGCCAATGTCAATCTAATAAAAATCTGTTATTGACACAAATTTGGAATAGCTGACGCTGAAAAAGCTGGTGCAAAATATCCATCAGCAGCTGAGGCTCATTCTCAAATTTTCACTCTGACGGCTGCAAAAGTCTCCTGTCACCCCATGAAAAAAACAAAACAAAAACCAAAGCAAGTAGACCAGAAAAAGTAAAGGACCAACACAAAACTGCAGCAGCAAAGAAAGGCGGGCTTCGTCCAATCAGAGCACACGCTGTGCTGAGTAGGCGGGGGTCACGGTGAGGTTGCGGGTCCATTACCTTTTTGGCCGCCTGTTCCTCTTCCACACCGTCCCCAATTACAACATACACTACTTTCCTGCCAAACCTTTGCATTATGCGTTCAAAGCAACTCTCTTTTCCTGCAAAAAACAAATAAACAAGGGGGAGGAAGGAGGGTCACATGGTCAGAGGGGTCAAAGTTCAGGTGTCATTTGTTTACCTGGCTGGCGGCATGCTCTTCATCCTTTCCATCGCCAATCACAACATATGTAATGTTTGTGCCAAAGCGGGAGACTATACGCTCAAAACAGCTTTCTTTGCCTGGAGACAAACAAATGGCTTTCACAGGTTTTTCCTTTGTTTAGATGGAAATAAAACACAGGAAGAGGTAGAGCTGTGCGTACTAGGGTGAAGTGAATGCACACACAAACACACAAGATGGTGTCTAGTGATTTAATAGTTAAAAATAGTGTACCCAGAAGTGGCGTGGCATCTGACCTTACACACTAGTTTTTAAAGATATCAGATTGTTACATCTGTTTGAATCGAGGCATATCACATAGTGACACACACATACATTTCCTGAGTGTTGTATCTTTCTACCCAAACCCCAGTCTGAGTTGTTTTGTTTCCACTCTTCAATAAGTCAGCACTGGCCATGGTTGCGGTACACTGTCACAACCAGCTGAGGTTAGAGTCCGTTCAGAGTGTAGACGTGCAGCCTGAGCGACATGTGTGTCGAGGCCAGATCGGGAACGCACGAGCTGAGTGCAGATATAAGTGCTGGAAGAATACTGTAAGTGTGGGGATAAGTAAGTCATACTAAAGACACTCAACACCCACACAGGTGACTTCGCCTAATGTGGCAAATGAAACATCTGCTGGGTGGAGCTATGTTTCGGATTGTGTGACGTCATCCACCTCAAAAAGATCATCTTCCCTTTCAATCAAAATCATTGACATTAGTAGTATAAGAGCACACGTTTAAATTAGTCTTGAGTCACCCCTTACTTGCTTCTAGCTATCCAGATTATCTTGCAGTTTGTTTAGCAATGGTCTCGATATTTATTTATTTTTTTGCAGCTTTTTCATCATTTTCAGTCGAGTTCTTATATCTGATCATTTTCACAGGGATGATTTTTTTGCTTGTTAAGCCATTTAACATCTTAACACTGACCTATGAGTCATTCAAGCATAAAAAAAGGAAAGGATGCAGTAAAAGCATACCTGGATTTAAAACACACACACAC